GGGAGCTCTTAGAGCAGAGGAAAGGGGTGCCTACCAGGAGTCAGGAAGCGGATTTGCCCCGTGACTTTCTTTAAAAAAATCTTATTTCTTTTTGTACTTGAAAAAAAAAAAAAATCAAACGAGGCTCACCCTACTTGAGTGGGATTTACTTCCCCAGAATGGAAGGGCTGCTCTGCCCTCCCCCTCTGCCAGCCTCGGCAGTAACCGTGTTTAACTGAGGCCGTTTCAAGTGCTCTAAAACACCCCTTGGAAATAAAATGTAAGCTTTAATTGCTGTTCAATTACTTGTCAGCATTTCATTTGATTTATGACCCAGTTCTGGCGCATTTTTGACCCAGTTAAAGACTCATAAATAATATAGTTTCACTAGAAAGAATGAGAGAGGGAATAGAGGTTTGTTAAAGGCATCTTTTTATTGTTGCTCCAGTACCAGCGAGTAGAATAAATATCTCAGGAAGGCCTCTTGAGCTGGTTCTGTATTAAAGCCGGCGCAGTAAGAAGAAACCAACAGTCGCAGATACAGAGCATTGGTCGGCCTCTCCTCCAAGGAAGGAGCTAAAGCCACTCTATCATAGCTAAACTGTAGCTATAAAAAAGGCTCAGTCCTTCTCACCCTCAAAACGCCAGCCTCACCCTTACAGGCAAGTGTATTTCCACATTAATTTTCCTCCCCATTTCGGGTTTCGATGCCTCATCTTGCCAAGGGTTATTCCTCACGTTGGTCCCTGGCTGCACAGCCCCCCCCCAGCCTCGGAGGCCCTCTCAGAAATGTTCACAAGGAGACCCCTGAGAAAGGCACCAGTGCACCTTCGCTGCTCCAAATATTCTAATGCTGAGAAAATGTTTTCCCCTGGTCCCCATGGGTGAGAGGGATTGGGAGCACAGGGACTTGGGGGAATTTGGAGAGCCAGGGGATCTTCTTAGCCAAGAAAACCTCAGTGGTTTTGGTGGAGCCGGGTGAATGGCTGCGGAATTTGCCTGGAAAGGGCACCGCGGCAAGCAATGGGCAGTTTCTGGCGATGGGAAATCGACAGGAGGTATTTTTCTCTTAAAAAAAAGAAAAGAAACAATAACAAAAATTACCTTCAGCTATTATAAACTATTATTTTTTTAATCACCTCGCCTGCCTTGTTCCAAAAGCCAGGACTTTGGATTTCAGCAGAGCGGCCTGAATCCAGGCAGTCTGCGTGCCAAGGCGCGAGACTCCAGCCTTGAGGTCGGAACCCTGCCTCTGCCTAGAAGCCACCTATTTGGGGCTGGCTGGCGGAGGTCCCGAGCTCCTGTCCCAGCTTTCCCCCCGGCCCCCCAGCTCCGCAGGTCCAGCGCCCGCGTTTCCCACCCCGGCACGGTCTTGGCGCCCGTGGGAAGGTATGCGCCCCGGGTGCTCCAGCGCTCACCTCCGCGCCCTCGGATCCCTTGGCCCGGCCATCCCCTTCCCTGGCAGGCTCTCACTGAGGGCTGGCCGTCTTTCCGTGCAGGCAGCTGGCGTAGTTGAGCAGGCGTGAGAGTCGCGTCAGCAGTTTGAAGGAGAAAGTGCGGGTTGATAATTGACCCACGCCTTCTTTCTTCAAATGCCACATCGGACCAGGACAGTTTGAAGAGAAAATGCCGCCGAGCGGATTTTTGAGGCCGGCTCTCGCCTCCTACGCGGCCCGGCTCCCCCTTTCAAGTTGCGCGGCTGCAATATGCCATAAGGAGCAAGTGTTTGCTGTTTTGTGCTCTGTTTACAGCTTTGGGGCGCCGAGTCATAAATCTTGCCCAGCCATAAATGACAAAAACCATTGGTATGCATGAGGCCACCCTGGCCGGGAGTGCTTTTTGATTCCTCCCTTTCCCCTTGGCTTTGTTTTTGCTCTAAGGTGACACTTTGGCTCCCTGACAGTTTAAACATACTACTTATATTTTTAACACCTTCCTTTGAGAAGGACCGGCCGTTGACACCTTGGAATTGCACGAAAGCTCCATTTCTCTCTTTTTGCCACACACATACCCCTACAGAGTTGGCTTTTGAATCTGGGGAGTTGAGGGAGGCGATGGGAGGGAGGAAGACTATCCTTAAAGTTGGGGAAATATCGCGGGGCACATGCAGGCCTTCCCTCCGCTCGGCTTCCCCCGTGCGCCCCTAATTCGGGTGGGAGTGGATACCGTAGATGCCGGGTGCTGCTGGGGTCAGAGTCTTATCAGCCTTTGCCTGTGAGTGACCTGCCTGTTTGTCCTGTGCCCCCCTCCACCCCCGGACACACAAGAGCTGGAGACTCGGGTTTCTAGACTCCTGTGCGTACCTGAGCCCAGAGCTTCCCGTCTCACTGCCCGACCACCGCGCATCTCCCCCCGGCTCCTTCGCTCCCGGCTGCCAGGATTTCAGGGTTTCTGCCTAGAAACACCACCGCTGGCTGCCCCGCTGCCTCTTCGGGAGGTCTCTCGAGAAAAGAGGCCCTATCGGAGCCCCCCCTCCCCCAAAGATTGGCTTTGAGGGTCTTGGGTTAGGGGTGGCAGGTGAGGTCAGCTGCCCAAAGTCTGGGGAACTCTCTCCTTCTGGTTCTCCTCGCCCCTCAACTGGAAATGTCCGGGGCAGAGGGTTACAGGGTTTCTCCAACAGATTCCTAAGAAATATAGAGCCGGGCAAGAGATCCCCTTTGTGAGAGCCGATTGTCCTCATTAGCATAATTTTCCTGGACTTTAGTGACGCCCAGG